CAAAATTGAAGTCGTAATCAGCTCAAACTTTCTACACAGCATAAGTACATCAATATGTATCAGAAAATGTCATAAAAATTGGGGGTGCTTTTGGAGCCATTTTTTGGAAAAAACCATGGGCTATAGCCTTGGCTATTTTTCAGGATTCTGGCGTTTTCTTAAAATGGCCGTAACTTGAAAAATTGAAGTCGGAACCAGCTCAAATTTGCTACACAGCATAAGTACATCAATATGTATCAGAAAATGTAATAAAAATTGGGGGTGTTTTTGGAGCCATTTTTTGGAAAAAACCATGGGCTATAGCCTTGGGTACTTTTCAGGATTCTGGCATTTTCTTAAAATGGCCGTAACTTGAAAAATTGAAGTCGGAATCAGCTCAAACTTTCTACACAGCATAAGGATGTCAATATGTATCAGAAAATGTAATCAAAATTGGGGGTGTTTTCGGAGCCATTTTTTGGAAAAAACCATGGGCTATAGCCTTGGGTATTTTTCAGGATTCTGGCATTTTCTTAAAATGGCTGTAACTTGAAAAATTGAAGTCGGAATTAGCTCAAACTTGCTACACAACATAAGTACATCAATATGTATCAGAAAATGTAATAAAAATTGGGGGTGTTTTCAGAGCCATTTTTTGGAAAAACCATGGGCTAAGCCTTGGGTGTTTTAATTGGCCATTTAACTTGAAAATTGTGAGTCAGAAACATATATATTTTGAAATTATTTGCTACAAAAGAGCACTATGATTGCATTAATTTAACTTCTTTTTTCTCATTCTTCTCCCTTTTCTTCTCTCTCTTTCTCCCTCACTTGATAAAAGGGTCTTCATTCTTCATAATGTCATCATACTGCTCTCTCGGGAGCCCTTGATATATACCACTGTTATTCATTATTATAAAAACAATCGGAAGCTTATACCTATAAAACAACAACAACAAAAATAATTATTATACAATTAATGTACATACATGCACATTAAGTAAGTACCATTATGTGTATAACAGATGTACAATATAATATACATACACATGCATTCCATGTACACTACATGTACATGTACCTGTATGCAGTTTCTATTTCCATTCCTGAGAATCCAAAGGCACTATCACCTTGAATGCAATAAACTGGAGTCTGTACACACAGAAAAATAATCAATTAATACACAGAAAGCTTTGACTGATTTTTATAGCAATATTAAGTTACATGTACAAGTATTTATAAGTTACATGTACATATGCATTTAAAAAGTCAAGCTCATATATTTACTTGTTTCTTAGATTTGTTTAAACTCGTAGTATATAGAGCAGCTGCTATGGCAAACCCAGTACCTACACCCATAGTACCAAATGTACCCGCATCTAATCTAAAAAAAAGACATGAAAATATAATTATACACATTTCAAACTAAAATGTCTTAGTGTGTATGGACATGTACATGTATACAGTTGGAATTGCTAAATTGAATGAATACCGTACAGTGGATTTATTTTGAGGATAATAAATTTCGCGAATGACCCGTGTCCAGAAGTTCGCGAAATTAATTTTTGTGAATTTTCACTATTCTGCCATTTTGTACCGTATTAAATTGATTTTCAAGGAATTTTAATTTTGCGAATCTTAAAAAATCCGCAAAATTCATGAAATTTGTTATCCTCGAAATAAACCTGCTATACAGTAATTGCTAAATTAAAAGCAATTGGCAGTTTTTTTTAATTTAGCAAATTTGTGTGTCATGTACACATATACACAACTTAAAACCAATGTATATATATAATTGGACTAATGCAGTGTTTACAGTACATGTACATGTATTTATGATTACCTGTGTCTAGGGAAGTGTGTTTTGACAACAGTCCTACCAATGTCCATTGTATTAGCTCCTTCATTCACTACAATAGCATCACGAGGTATGTAATCTGTTATCTGAGGGAGAAAGAGAAGGAGAGAGAGACAAAGGGGACAATAAAAAAGGACAGGGAGAGTGAAAAAGGCAAAGAGAAAGAACATAAAATGAGAGGAAGAGAGAGAGAGGGAGGGGGTGAGAAAGAGAGATGGGAGGAGAGGGACATGGAGAGAGGGAAAGAGAGAGAATAATAAAAAAAGAAAAGGGAGAGTATCGATATCCTCACTTGTTTATAAGCACAATAAAAGTTCATTGGGACACTTTCCTGACTAGCAAGTGACTAAAACAAATAATATAAATTATTATTATTAATAATAAACTTATTAATATGCAAGAACTCACTTGACTAAGTTTGGTATTATAATCAATTTTATTTCTTAAAGTGCTCCACCAGTTACCTAATGGATCAACACCTTTAAAGCCAATGTCACAAAGAGCGTCCGATAACTGCAAAAAATAAAATAAATAATAACATGTATACTATGTCCCAACTGAGAATGGACCGGAAGTGGAAGCAGCTGCA